GTTCAGTCACTGCATTCGTCTGGCACGTCGCCGTGCATTAAGCTGTGGTCTAACATATGGCCGCCTCGGTCTTAGACCGAAGGCACGCAGTCGACTACGCACTGTCTTTGGATCAATTGGAACATGATGACGCCCAATTGTGTTCCTTGCTGTTTCCGTGGCCGTCAGAAAGCGATTGCGTAGGTGCGAAAGTCGCATTGCCCTATCCTGCCGACGCGTCGTCACACGAGGGCGACCGCTTCGGGCACGGTCTGCAACCCTTTCGGTGGCATGTTCGATGGATGGACTCCAACTTGATTAGCGACCTGAATTTGCGGGGTACCTTGCATAAGAATTGCAATGGCACGACCCCTGTCAACTTCGGATTGTCATGGCATTTTTTACGGTGAACTGTTTATGCTTAAAATGTGGGAAATCAAGACGGATATGTCTGAAGATTCGCACACACAGATTTTGAACCAATCCTTTATACTGGGTTCGAGATATCGTGCTTTTGTCTCTTATTCTTTTGTACAGGCGGCGTACGCAGTTTAGTTATGCATCAGTGATTTTAACACGGTGCCATAGGGACCTAACTCAAATGCAAACATTTGTCAAGTTTCAAGGTTGAACGTGCAGAATTTAATTTACAATATTAAATTTCTGCTAAATGCGTTTTTTTCCCTCTCGGTATATTATGTGAGAACCTTACTGAGTGGCTTGGATTCGTTACCTGACAATTGTTCAGTGTCTCCAGATGTATATCGTATATCGATATTTTGTGTTTACTATACCAACGTGTAGGCCGTGTAATTGTAAATCATATTCATCGCTAGGTAAGTAAAAAATAAGAAGAATAATAAAAATCGGGTATTTATGGCGAGCTCTGTTTGTTTGGTGGATTGAAGACGGAAATCATATATATTAGATGAACAATATATAATGTAGCCGAGAGTTCATAGACATTTGCACATTTATCAATAATAGGAAGGATACTTCAACAAGTTTATTTTCTTAAACTAGATCATCATATACATAACGCATAATTACAGCTTTCACAATAATTGAGTAAATATAGAGATGAAACCCGCCAAACCCTGAAGTCAATTACTTGTCAGTTTCAACAGCTTTTACTGTTGTAGTTTGCGCGCTAAAATTTCTTTGTCATTGATGGATGATGGAATTTTCTAAATTGTGGAAATAAAGCAAAATAAAAGTTTTTTTTTTATATTTTCTGTTAGTTGTAACGTCCTGCTGAAATAACAAAGAAGATTTTCCGAAGACTACACTCTTATTCAACAAGTTAAGTGTTGCTTTTTATTTACAGACAAGGAATCAATTTTGATCTACGGGGGGTCAAACCATACATGCAGACAAGGAAGCAATACTGATCTCGGGAAGTCAAACCATACATACAGGCAAGGAATCAATATTGATCTCGGGAAGTCAAACCATACATACAGACAAGGAATCAATATTGATCTACGGGGGGTCAAACCATAAATGCAGACAAAGAAGCAACACTGATCTCGGGAAGTCAAACCATACATGCAGACAAGGAAGCAACACTGATCTCGGGAAGTCAAACCATACATACAGACAAGGAATCAATATTGATCTACGGGAAGTCAAACCATACATACAGACAAGGAATCAATATTGATCTCAGGAAGTCAAACCATACATACAGACAAGGAATCAATATTGATCTACGGGGGGTCAAACCATACATACAGGCAAGGAATCAATATTGATCTACGGGAAGTCAAACCATACATACAGACAAGGAATCAAACCATACATACAGACAAGGAATCAATATTGATCTCGGGAAGTCAAACCATACATACAGACAAGGAATCAATATTGATCTCGGGAAGTCAAACCATACATACAGACAAGGAATCAATATTGATCTCGGGAAGTCAAACCATACATACAGACAAGGAATCAATATTGATCTCGTGAAGTCAAACCATACATACAGACAGGGAATCAATATTGATCTACGGGAAGTCAAACCATACATACAGACAAGGAATCAATATTGATCTCGTGAAGTCAAACCATACATACAGACAGGGAATCAATATTGATCTACGGGAAGTCAAACCATACATACAGACAAGGAATCAATATTGATCTCGGGAAGTCAAACCATACATACAGGCAAGGAATCAATATTGATCTACGGGGGGTCAAACCATACATACAGACAAGGAATCAATATTGATCAACGGGAAGTCAAACCATACATACAGGCAAGGAATCAATATTGATCTACGGGGGGTCAAACCATACATACAGGCAAGGAATCAATATTGATCTCGGGAAGTCAAACCATACATACAGACAAGGAATCAATATTGATCTCGGGAAGTCAAACCATACATACAAGCAAGGAATCAATATTGATCTACGGGAGGTCAAACCATACATACAGACAAGGAATCGATATTGATCTCGGGAAGTCAAACCATACATACAGACAAGGAATCAATATTGATCTCGGGAAGTCAAACCATACATACAGGCAAGGAATCAATATTGATCTACGGGGGGTCAAACCATACATACAGACAAGGAATCAATACATACAGGCAAGGAATCGATATTGATGATCTACATACAGGCAAGGAATCAATATTGTCAAACCATACATACAGACAAGGAATCAATATTGATCTACGGGGGGTCAAACCGGGGGGTCAAACCATACATACAGAAAAGGAATCAATATTGATCTACGGGAAGTCAAACCATACATACAGACAAGGAATCAATATTGATCTACGGGAAGTCAAACCATACATACAGACAAGGAATCAATATTGATCAAACAATACATACAGACAAGGAATCAATATTGATCTACGTCAAACCATACATACAGACAAGGAATCAATATTGATCTACGGGCTGTCAAACCATACATACAGACAAGGAATCAATATTGATCTACGGGAAGTCAAACCATACATACAGACAAGGAATCAATATTGATCTACGGGGGGTCAAACCATACATACAGACAAGGAATCAATATTGATCTACGGGAAGTCAAACCATACATACAGACAAGGAATCAATATTGATCTCGGGAAGTCAAACCATACATACAGACAAGGAATCAATATTGATCTACGGGAAGTCAAACCATACATACAGACAAGGAATCAATATTGATCTCGGGAAGTCAAACCATACATACAGACAAGGAATCAATATTGATCTACGGGAAGTCAAACCATACATACAGACAAGGAATCAATATTGATCTCGGGAAGTCAAACCATACATACAGACAAGGAATCAATATTGATCTACGGGAAGTCAAACCATACATACAGGCAAGGAATCAATATTGATCTACAGGAAGTCAAACCATACATACAGACAAGGAATCAATATTGATCTCGGGAAGTCAAACCATACATACAGACAAGGAATCAATATTGATCTACAAGGGGTCAAACCATACATACAGACAAGGAATCAATATTGATCTACGGGAAGTCAAACCATACATACAGACAAGGAATCAATATTGATCTCGGGAAGTCAAACCATACATACAGACAAGGAATCAATATTGATCTACGGGAAGTCAAACCATACATACAGACAAGGAATCAATATTGATCTACGGGAAGTCAAACCATACATACAGACAAGGAATCAATATTGATCTACGGGGGGTCAAACCATACATACAGACAAGGAATCAATATTGATCTACGGGAAGTCAAACCATACATACAGACAAGGAATCAATATTGATCTCGGGAAGTCAAACCATACATACAGACAAGGAATCAATATTGATCTACGGGAAGTCAAACCATACATACAGACAAGGAATCAATATTGATCTCGGGAAGTCAAACCAAACATACAGGCAAGGAATCAATATTGATCTACAGGGGGTCAAACCATACATACAGACAAGGAATCAATATTGATCTACGGGAAGTCAAACCATACATACAGACAAGGAATCAATATTGATCTACGGGAAGTCAAATCATACATACAGACAAGGAAGCAACACTGATCTACGGAAGGTCTAACTATAATTATATACAAGCCAGAGATCCGTTTTGATCTACGAAAGGTTAAACCATATTAATATAATTATGTTTTTGAAGGTCAAGCATAAGTTCATTAAGAAATAATCTATTTCTTTTTGAGATATGATGAAGCTGACGTGTTTAAAGCTTATTAGTTTGTTTGTTGGTTCCGTTGTTGTACACATTGTTCTCATTTGAGGTGAATGTTTTAGTTCAAACATGGCAGAAGATCTTAGCAATCCGAGCGGATGGAAGCTGAAGTTCAAACAGGAGAGATTACTTAAACATTCCGCGGGAGATGAAAGTTTTAGTTGAAACATGGTAAAGCACACAAACAATACGAGGAAAGTGAAAACTTACGTTATAATTTGGAAGAAGACACTCAAGCAATCCAATGGAGATGAAAGTTTAAGCTGAAATAGCGAAGAACACCTAAGCATTACGAGAGAGATGAAGGTATAAGTTCGAACAGTCCGTGGGAGTTGAAAGCAATGCACACACACACACACACACACACGCACGCACGCACGCAACACACACACACACACACACACACACACACACACACACACACACACGCACACACACACACACACACACCTACCTACACAAACCACCATACACACCCTCACATACACACACACACACGACCACCACCACAACCACACACACACCCTCACACACACACACATCCACATCCGTCTACTGCCAGCATCATATTAGCATTTTAAATTACATAACATGCATTTGTTCTGTGATGATAAAATCGATTAATCGTGGTCGTAACAGTGCTTTATTGTTATAAACTACAGTTTATTGTGCATATTGTTAACATTTGGGTGGAACGTAATCAATGAATCATTTAAAACCTACTGGCACTGTTCCAAATCTATCATTCGTCAACACTATAGCGGGTATGTAGAGGTATTAAACACAATCACTAAGATGTAGTCGAATCCAGATGTGAGAAGAAACGTGAAAGACATGGAACGATTGATCATTGTGTGTGCCGTTTGCATAATCTTACCTGGCAGAGTGGCTTCAGGTAATACCAGAGTACGATGACTTAGAACCACAGGTTTGGTTGAATTAGATAGGCCAGGCTGATTTTATACTACTCTCAGTAAACATTGATACGTCCATATTGTTTACCTGTTGTAATACTGATATAGCTTACCTAAATAAGAACTTTTATTTTCACTTCGTAGATAAGTTCATAACAAATTTCATCATGTGTCGATTTGTTTTCCTTACACAGAAAGTAACAGCATAGTGAATTCATTTTGCGTGTATGTTTTGAAACAACCACATATCTTTTATATACCTTAACAGATCCCTGTACAACGTACGAGAATTTCACAGCCGACTCTACACGATCGCCAAGTCACATTGAGTCTGTTTACGCTAACAAGAACTGTGATGCTGTCCTGACCACTAAGTGGTACAGATTGGTAGGGGATGCAGGGACTGACCTGACCAATGATAGTGATCTTCTAGTCACTGACGGATGCGGGACAACTTACCAGCTATGGATGAATGGTGGGTATCTTCATGATTCTACAAAAGACACACGACTGCAAAACAACTTTCAATACAAATTCAGAGTAGGATACAGTATAGCCAAATGGAAACTACAAACTGAATCATTTCATTCCTCTGGAACTCGTCATTGACGCCACATTTAAGGGCCTAAGTACTGGTTTACAAGTTAGGAGGCGACACAGGTAGACCCAAAATGGGATGGAATAATGTAATTACTTCAAAAAATAAAAATAAAAATACATCTCATAATTTAAAATTGAATTGTTTCAGAAGAGCGTCAGTAAGTATATGTATAGAAGTGGAATGCAGGTTATATCAAACATACTTTGTTGACGTTCTCAGAATATGGTGTACATGTATGTTAAAGAAATAGCAATTTGTTACCTATTGATTATTGTAATGACTCATATAGACTATAGTAATATGAATCGTTATCACTAGTCCTGGTTTGATCACTGCTATCACTAGTCCTGGTTTGATCACTGTTATCACTAGTCCTGGTTTGATCACTGTTATCACTAGTCCTGGTTTGATCACTTATATCACTAGTCCTGGTTTGATCACTGTTATCACTAGACCAGGTTTGTTCACTGTTATCACTAGTCCTGGTCTGATCACTGTTATCACTAGGCCTGTTTTGATCACTGTTATCACTAGGCCTGGTTTAATCACTGTTATCACTAGGTCTGGTTTGATCACTGTTATCACTAGGTCTGGTTTGATCACTGTTATCACTAGCCCTGGTTTGACCACTGTTATCACTAGTCCTGGTCTGACCACAGTTATCACTAGTCCTGGTCTGATCACTGTTATCACTAGGCCTTGTTTGATCACTGTTATCACTAGTACTGGTTTGATCACTGTTATCACTAGGCCTGGTTTGATCAATGTTATCACTAGTCCTGGTTTGACCACAGTTATCATTAGGCCTGGTTTGATCACTGTTATCACTAGGTCTGGTTTGATCACTGTTATCACTAGGCCTGGTTTGATCACTGTTATCACTAGGCCTGGATTGACCACAGTTATCACTAGTCTTGTTGTGATCAGTGTTTTTTCTAGGCCTGGTTTGATCAATGCTATCACTAGTCCTGGTTTGACCACAGTTATCACTAGTCCTGGGCTGATCACTGTTATCACTAGGCCTGGTTTGATCACTGTTATCACTAGGCCTGGATTGACCACAGTTATCACTAGTCTTGTTGTGATCAGTGTTTTTTCTAGGCCTGGTTTGATGAGTTTTTATAACTAATTGTTGTTACATCTGGCCGTGTTATCATTTCATATCAATTACACTCTACCTGTTGTTTCAATGTTCAACATTTAAAAAATCAAATAAAAGACTTTTTTTTACTTTCTTGTATTCATAGGCTCTTTACCAGATGAATCGGATGGAACTGTAAATGTCCAAATATGTATGAAGTCAGTCTTCTCAATCTGTCACAGCAGCTTCACTATCCAAGTGAAAAACTGCTGTTCTTTCTGTGTTTATCATCTCCAGAGCGCAACAAATTGTCCTCAGGCATACTGCGTCAGTAAGTATCAACCTACAATCTTCTTTTCTCGCATGCTACTGAGCAAGTAATCTTATTCCAGGTTATCATCTGTTAAAAGCACTGGTTGTTGTTTCATACAGGTAATTGCTTGCCCATCCATAGTGTTCAGTATGAACGGAAGACTGGAATGTAAGGAACCGACTTAAGATGTTTTATTTTACACTAGAGCGATATTGCTCACTCGGTTTACCTTTCGATATGTACTTATCTTATTTCTGTAATTTTGTAGGTCCCAGACTTGTTCCATCTGATAACTGTCCCGCATCAACCACTACATCATCATCTGGGGTCACCACTACCAGTGGTTTGAGCACAACCAAGACGACCAGCATCTCCACAACAACCAAATCGTCATCAACAAGCAAAATAGCTACTGGTATTTGTTTTACGTTTTTTGTTGTTTTTTTCTTCAATACATTTGAACATTTTTGTAATTGAATTTTAATGAAATTTGAGAGTGGTTGTATTTGTATTAACACCATCCATTTTTTTTGTCTTCACCTTTCCACTCAGGTGACCTGCATATGACTATCGTGAACACAATTGACCCTCAGGTCATCATCATCGTAGTTCTCCTGTTGGTAGTCATCGTGGTGATAATGATCGGGTAAGCCTTATTTCTAATTAAATGGACAGCAGAGAGTTTCAAAATCCGAGAAAACATTTCTTGGTTATAGAGATCACATCAAAAATGAAATCTTGTCCCGATTCGTGCACCAACCTGACATGTTTACAAAGTTTCATGGTGACTGAGTTTTAATGTTGAAGCCTGGCAAAGATTGCAAACATTGATTCCTTATTTCTTGCTTTATTTTCATGGTGTAACAGAGACGATAGCAAAATAGAAAAAACCGTGCGAAAGTAATAGGCACAACAACGGCTTTCATGTCATACACATTGAAAGTTTTGTCAAGATTAGTTGAATTGTTTTCAACGGAACTCCATTTAAAAAGAGTTTCGCTGGGAATAATAACAATAACATAATGTCTAAACTTTTTATTTTGGGGAGGATTTCGTTTCGTTGGTAATGAATCAGGAATACGTAAGAAACTTCTTTCTCTTTATTTTTTTTTTTATGCAAGGGGATGTTGGGAGTGTTGTTATTGTTTACTTAAATTTTTGTCCAAGTTTTGTGTGTTTACGAGATTAAATGATTACATAATAGTAACTAGTGGTTCGATTATGTTCTTTGGCACGCATTCTGTATTTCTTTTTCAGAATTTTCATATACAAATGTCACAAGTCTAGCAAGGTGTCTGCAGACCGTGCGACGTACTTAACCCCGGTTCTGTATCAACCACAACAGCATGGATACATAGACGCGTCTAGTCCGGGGCCTAATGTGGAAAAAGGTGGGCTATCGGTGTATACCGGACACATGTAATACTGACCAGTGTTGATTCTCAATAGCCTTCGAGAAAAACATAGCGACTGCATTTCAACTCACTGCTGTATTGTCATTCTGAATGTTTAACTGTCTCTAAAGGGTCTCTATAAGAATTGACACACACACACACACACACACGCACGCACGCACGCACACACACACACACACACACACACGCACGCACGCACGCACGCACGCATGTATGTATCAAAGTGAAATGCTACAGTCTATGTTCAAATAGTAACTATGTAAATATCAATGGACTTATTCATCCGTTCTCTGTATAATGGTACCATAAAATGTGCATGCATGTTTCTGTCATTCCTTGATATTGTTTTTAATAGATTTGATCTGTCGTGAAAATGTCAGATACAAAATAGTAGGTTTTGTTTTACCTGATGTTCACGTATCACAAGATATCATTACAGCATACTCCTACAATATTATCATCATATTTCTTAGTTTTCATGTGTAATTTCAATGCAGTATACAACCAAAGTCGTTTGATGGCCATTAATCTACCAGTTATAGATATACATTTTGTACATTTTTTTTCAGATGAGACTGCCACTCTCGATATGTAA